TTTCGAAAGCCAATCGAACAACATCCAGAGAACAATATTATTTGTGTTTTCAAATAATAATTTTAAAAAAGACAAATCTTTTAGTAATTTTGATTTACAAAATCTAATTATTCGGCGGAAAATTAACTCACAAATTCATTTTTGTTAAAAAAGCTTGTTTAGTGAAAAAGTGCTAACAAATATTCAAACATACAGGTAATTAATTCAACTTTGTCATTAACCTTTTCTTAAAAAAATTCCATAACTTTCAAAAAATTTTCTATTATGTTTAATATCCTGTTCTGATAATCCACTCATTTATTTTATCATTTTTATCATTTTCATTTTGAACATATTATCATATTTCTGTACATTATTATTTTTTTTGCAATTAATTCATTATTTAAGAAAAATCTATTTTCTTTTCCTAAACATATTGTTTGCTAAAATCTCATCAAGATCATGTTTCTTGACAGATGTCCTGAAGATGGAACGTACCTAGTTCCGAAACGTCGACAATAAACAAATAATTAAATAAAGAAATTGTTTTTTTAAAAACTTTTCTTGTTTTTATTTTGTATTATTTTTGGATTCTTGTTCGAAACTCTACAAAATATATACAAATCCAAGACTCTACCATTCAATATATATATATATATATATATATATATATATATATATATATATAACATATATGTATGTGTATATATATAAATATATGTGTGTGGGTGTATGTATATATATTGTCCAAGTATTGTCTTTCATGTAAAGTATTATAAAAATCTAATCAAACCAAATGATCCTAACGCATAAATTTATAAAAATTCTAAATCATTCATTCAAAACTAGAAAAAAATGCTTTTTGAATTTCATAGCCAATAATGATGGGATAAAAATTAAACCTTCTGGGTACTGGTGTAGAGCGTGGGTAGAATTTGGAAGCTCCAGGTTGGTGATAGACTTCGATCATTAGATTTTGATTTCGATGATCCCTTTTCGAATGTATGCTTAGTATTCTTCTGTGATACAAATTAATACAAATGATATATGACAAAGCACAGACAATGAATAAGCGAATGATATAACATAAATGTAGAAATTAATTGGATACTAAAAACATTAATACAAGAAGTAACAAATTAATAAAGGATATCTCATATCATATTTTAATAGTCACTTTGATTATTGATAATATTTATGAAAGCCCATATTAAAGCATAATATAATTTTTTTTTTGTTTTAAAATTAAATAATAGAAAGAATATATTTACTTCAATGATGATTCTTTTGATCTTTAACAAATTTTCGACGTTTATAACAATGACTAAACAAGTGAATTTAATTAGCAGAAAAAATCAAAAAAATATGTTAAAACATGAATATACAAGACTATTTATAACTGGTCTGGTTATATACACAAAAACATAAACGATTATTAACATTCTAAATGAATACGTTAGATTACAAATGTGCTTACGTGATTTGTATAATATACATATAAATATACAATTTAAATACTTATATTACAATTTTCATCATAAGAGTAAATTTGAGCAATTTCAAACCTGTTTCGAATTCCCGTAGTAATTATATGTCTTAAGATATGTTCCTAATGATAATATACTACATTTTGAACAATGAGTTTTTACAGATTCTTGCATGAGTCCAAGAACATGCAGGAAATCTGGTGCGACGTAATGGTCTTCTTCCAGAAAGACTACAGGACCTAAAATGACATTAATTAATCACTAGAAGTTCGAAAATGAAAATTTACATATTTTCACCTATTTACATTTTTGGCTATTTTACCTGTAAAATATTTGGTAACATCTAATTGATCAAAAACTCTATTAGCTTTCCACCACCAATGATGTTTTGTCTGGCAGAATTTTGCTTCTCTGTAATGTCCATAACTATCAGGGTGCAATGCATTATTGCATTTACGTAATATGGCTCTATAATAAAAAATTGAATATTAATTAAAAAATTATACAAATAGATTAATGACAAAAAATATAAAAGATACTCTTAACAAAGAAAATTAAGAGCAACGGACACGATTATTGAGGTATAATAATAAATGTTAATATTCTTAGAAAATAAAACATTTAATGATTTTTCTTATTGTTAAGATTTTAAGCATTATCCAAAATATTAAAATTCAATGATTAATATTAATAAGTTAAAAGAAATTATTATTCATTCCCATTAGAAGATATTGCTAATATTTGCTTTAAGCAATATTCAGCTTTATTTATTTAAATAATATAGAAAGAAATTTTTGTTATTTTCTTACAGTAAATATTTGCACGGTTGTGAGATCATATATTGCAGTCTGTGTTTGCTTAAAATTGAAGGTAATAAAATAAAATACTCAAGTAAATGACTCTTATCATAGAGTTTAAAGTATTTAGGTATAATAAAGTAGTTTTTATAAACCATATCTTAGGTAAATATCTGATACTTCTCTGATATATAGAAAGTACAAAACGTAAACGAATATTATTAAATATTTTCTTCACAAAATTTAGGCAAAATCATAGACTTCTGTATTTGAAGTAATATATATTTTTTTCTTAATATACATTTTTGTTTAGTTTATAAGATCAAGTTGTCATTAAAAAAAATAAATATTATTATTAATTTTAATACTCACTGTTCTCTGTTTAAATTCCTAGGGCAATCCTTTGGATCTTCACCAGGAAAAACATTAGGATGTGTTTGTATAGAGAATGGATAAAAAATTTGCATTACCTGTAGTAATTAAAATACAAAATGAAACGTGATAGATACATCAACCTATATATAATTTAAATGTATATTTAGGTTAATTTATTACCTTACAAAAATCAACACTTTGGACTAGGTCATTAATATCTTCATCGTAGTAGTCATGCGAGAAAACGATAAGTACGTTGGAAATTCCTTGCGCCTGCGCCAAACTTATTATTAAATGCCTTAAATACGTGATGCGAGTATGTACCTGGAATGGAAATTAATATTAAAATCACCATTAGTAAAACAACTCAGTTATAGAACACAATTAATCCCTAATTAACAGGTAAATGATCTATTGAGTCCAGCGTAATGGTAATACAAAATCGCTTCATGCTGCTCATCAAGAGAATAACATCTTGCATATTTGAAATCATTATTATTTATAAGAATATATTCATTTGAATTATTAAAATATATTTATACATACTGTATGTATGAATAAATATTATTATTATTTAATATTAATATTATTTAATTTAATATTAATATTATCTATTTACATAGATTAGTCTCACAATGATTATATAAAATTGCTTCATGCCGTACATTAAGATTCTATAGTAAGAGTTACTTCCCAGATATTTGGTATCAATATTTATTATAATTTTTTTTTCATTTACTAAGATATATAGATATATTTATAATATATTTAAAATATATATAGATATATTTATAATATAATATATAGGGTATATAAGATTATAAATTCTATTAAATTATTTGGCCTATTTATTTATTTATTCATAAGCAAGCCGTAATCAATAATAATAAATATTATTCCAGGCTCTTGTCAAGAATATATATATATATATATATATATATTATATTATATTATAATACAATCTAGTATTAAAAAATAAAATTAATGATAATTGACAGATGTCAATTTTGATTTGTAAGTTTAAATTTTATTTGCATTTAAGATTTTTTTAGGTAAACAATGTTAAAATTTCAAATTCCTGAAGAATATTTACCGCCTGATAAATTACAGCCTGGAGAGTAAGATTGTCCACAAAATTATAATTCATATTTATTGAAATATGAAGAATTTTTAAAATATGCAATATAATATATATTCAGTTAGTCTACAGATTACATGAATATTCTCTTGTAAAATATTGTTCTTATAGTTAAATTGTTATATGTTTATATAAATATAGTAATTTTAATGTTTCTATTCATAGATTATAGTTATTTCCATTTTTAATAGACATAAATGATATGTATATATATATATATATATATATATATATATAAAATAAGAAAATTGTTTCATAATCTCTTATACCAGGCACCCTTGCCTGATCAATAAAAAAAACATTCGAAGGATAAAAAAATATTCCACTAAATGAAGGATTTTAAAGTAATTTTTTTTTAAGTTTAAATTTGAATTGTATTTTTCTTTGGGCCCGATTATTAGACATAAAAATTACAATTTAAAAATGTACAAGTGATCTATTTTATTATTTAAAATAATAAATTATCTTTGAGGGTGCTTCAAGAATGTAAATTTGATCCTGAGTCTTTGCAAGAATTATGTATCAAAATAGTGGACCAATTTCCTCTTCCTGAATGCTTTAAATGGTCAGTAAGACAAATCGCCAAATGGATTTTAAATGATGTTGGATTTCCACAATATGTGGTAAGAAAATAAATTACTAAATTGTTAATTTGTCAGTTGTAATACAGATAACTCGTACAGCGCGATTTTTAAAACATAAATTAAATATAGTAATACTTCCCATAGGACTATGATATTTTATGGGGTTCGTTTTGACTATCAACTCTCAAAGTTTCATCAAAATCCCAGAGAATTAAACCGGAGGTGATCCTTGTAAATTCCAATTGAATGCTTTTTAACGAGGGCTAACTATACAATTATATTATTTATAAATTGTTCTTTAATTTAATATAAAACCAAACCAAAACCACAGTTACGGTTATTTGTTGTTTTTCTCAAAATTATCTTTGTGAATTATTAATAATTTAAATAATGAATGATGAGTTCGATTTGTTGGTATTGATATTTGCCAACAAATCAAATTCATTATTCATTATTTAATCATTATGTTTACTGTAAAAATAATTACTCAAAGTATGTATCATATGTCTGTGCATACTTTTATTTATTTAAATTGATTTTACTTATTTCGATTTGCAAAAACAAGAAATCTCCATATCCATCGATTTTTTAATTAATGTTAATATGGCAATTTGGAAAAAAAATATTTTGATTCTTAAAAATGAGTTATAATATTCTGCTTACATATGGATATACTTTAGATATAGCCTGTTTAGCATGCAAAAGATATTGGAAATATTTTACATAAAATCGCTATAAAAGCAAAGTTTTGTGAAGCATACAATAATACTGCAATTATTTATTAATTAATGCTAATAATATGTCAATGTGGGTAACTATGTAGACATCAAAAAATATTATTTTATATCCACCAATTTTTTATTTAAAAATAATTTGAATACCTATGTAGACCGTAAAATATGTTATGATTCTTAAGAATGAATTATAAAATTCTATTCACGTGTGCGATTTGTTTTAGATATAGTCTGTAAATATTTTACATAACCATGCAATAAAAATATGATTATCAACTAATTAAGGTTTTGTAATGCATAAATTAATATTATATATTCAAGCGCACATTTGTTTGCAACAAAATAAACGGCCGTATGTTGCTGTTTGTCGACGCATCATCATTACCTCTGATGAATATTCACGATTTCGAGCACATCAAGGTGAAAATCTTTCTAAATGTCACAGCAATATTATCATATAAACATATATGTTTAGAATAATTTCTATTTATCATCAGATTATTACGAAAAATATCCGAGAATTGATAGGCCGAGAAAATGACGAGTTCGCACGTAGTATATCTCTACCTTACGCTTACCCAGAAACATGTTACAAGATATTCAGGTCAAGAACAGGCCCTAAAACTGAGTCCACGCTTAGGTATCATTTATGTAACATTAAATTTAGTAATATAGACGAAATACAAATCAGTAATCGATCGGATCAATCAGTCAATCTATCTCATTACTCATTCTGTTCGAGAAATTAGGACGTGTAAACTGTACCTAAACCTATATTGCTATTGTAATTTATACGCACGTCCAGCACCAAATAAACAGATGTAATAGAAGATTTATATCAAAATTATAATTTTATGAAACTTTTTCAAAAATGAAAATCATTTACACGTCTGTAGTTTGAATAGATTAAAAGAAGCCTGAAGGTGCAAAAACTCATATATATCTCATATTTTGAACTTGTTAGAGAACGTCCATCAATCACGTGATCAAATTTTTAGTGAATTTTGGACCCCCCCTCTTGGTGATATTCAAAATTACCCCCCCCCTCTTCCATCACGTCTATTTTTAGTCACGAGAAAAAATCCTAAAATTTTTGAATTTTTTTGATGTTTGGAATGTTTGGAATTTTTTTAAAAAATTCAGGTGAAAATAAATACACGTGATATCTTACAATACCCTTTCCTTCCCATGTAATATTTCGTGATTTTCTATCCCCCCTTCACCTATAAACCTCTTGTGATTAATGGACGCCCCCTTATATAAACACTCTCAATAATTATAATATTAATGATGAATTTTTCATAAGTAAAATATATTAATAAAATATTAATAATAAAATTAAACAAAATTTTATCATTCTTTTCAATTGTACATTCTAAACTTTGAAAATAATCAGCACGTCTCGCCATCAATATGAATCTATTGTCTTTTGAATCAATCTAATCGGATGATTCGTTTTCACTGAAAAATTGTATTTATATACTTTTTGTTTTGTATCTCCAAAATGGCTCTCCCTATCGTTTCCTATTAGTACGTCTCTCCGTCAATAGGAATCGAATGTTTTTTGAATCATTCAAATCGGTTGATCCATGGACAAAAAATTGTATCCGGACTTACAAACATACTATAGAAAAAATTGATGTATGTGTATGTATTAGTAGTAGATATGTGTATGTAGTATGTATGTGTGTATAGTATGTATGTATACTCCCGTCGGGAGAAGCCAAACTCCTACCGGGCGCGTCCCCAGGTGGCGGATAGGGGGTATCCTAACCGATCGTAAGATCGGCGGATTGGGGCGAAATAAAATAGCCCTCGCGGACCAAATATGGCATCGGAGCTGAGGAGTAACAGCCACCGTCCGTGTATCGCGGAAAAAATTAAAAACTCCCTTTTGGTTGGTCACACCATCTGACCTAGGGTCACATACGGAAGCGGATGAGGGGACACTGCTCGAAAGAGATGTGTGGATGATCCATATAGCGCACCGTACGTGAAAACTCCCGGCATCAACGTGCCGCACCCACGGGAGCAAGAGGATGCCAATGAAGGAAGAAGGTGCACGGCCGGAGCGGATGTTTTTTTCCCACTCCAATGGTCACAAGCTCTTACAGTAATGGAGGTAGCTGTAGGGGTGATCACCCCTCCACTTCCCAAGGCACCGCGTTCGGAGACGACCTTTTGCTCTGGAGGACTATTTAAATAGCATGGATAACTATGAAAACCCAAAAAAACAAGAGACAGGTGACGTAATTATGGACGTCGAGCATGATGCGGCAAAAGCCGCTATAGTAAGAGGAGGCAAGAAGGTTCCCGGTAATCTTCACCGTGACAGAGTGAACTCTGCACCATCGACTAGATGTCGTCAAACGCCGATGGAGAGACTTGGCTCCAAAATTGACGAGCTAGCGGAGTATGTGAAAGATAGGAACAATGTTCACAGCAGAATAAAGGAGCTAATTAGGTCGATTGATACAGCATATAGCCTGGCATTGAAAGAATATACGGCAACCCCCAAAGCTCTCGCAATGACTGTGCAAACTACACAGACCTCTCCCGAGAAAACTATTAAACCGGGTGTAACTCAGACGCCAACTCCTAAGACCCAGGAGCAAAATACAAACAAAAGGTTGCTATCTTCACTTAGTCCCACCTCTGACGCGGAAACACATCCGCCTAAAAAATCGGCTGTAGAAAATAACTGGACGAAAGTGGTTCGAAAAAGTTCAAAGAAGAAAGGAGCCCGAGATCCGAAAGAAATCTTGGAGGAAACCGAGAAACCGGAAACCGAAAAAATCGAAACAAATGATAGTGCTAAGCACAGAAACAACCATCATAGGACAACTCGGAGGAAACATAGAACCAAGG